GGATTCCTATTGCGGTGTATACCATAATGCTAGCCATACAGTCAAGCCAGCGGCGTTTGTTCCAATGTATACTTCGACATGGTTTCGGGCAATCTTCTCACGGACATTTTTTTTTTTACGTATTTCGATCTAAGAGTCCTAACAGCGTAGTATTTACTAGATTTCTTCGGGTGTCTTGTACGATTAGGTATTTCTCTCTCACATCTAAGCATCATTAATAGGAATAATTGCCTAACTTGTAAGGCGGCTGGGAAAACTTGGTTTTAGGAGCGGGTATTCTAGAGCTAGCGGCTACTACCGAGGAAATTATCTGTCTTCTAAACTGCTGTCGTCAGGCTCAGCTTACAATTGAATCGTTTGCGCACCATCTTCAAAACTATATCAGGTACATAAAAGTACCAAATGTCTGAAAAATGGTTTAAAGTCATATTCATAGCGTAACTTCGACAGGGTGGATGCTGCAGCTGCGAAGTATGCGCAGGATATGCCTAAGCCCAAGAAGTCCCATTTTTTGGACTCGCTATCTCAGATTATGTTGCTACTGTGGTGATGTAAAACCGTTTCTTATAATGTTTTAAGTGAACATGAATACGCTGGATAAGATAAGCAAGTTAAAGCACTTTTTTTACATATAACGTACATCATTTTTACTACCCACGCCTTAGTCGCAAAATCTCTTTATGGATACTGTTTTAGAACATTATTTTAGGCATGTTTTGACACTTTTTTCTCTACGGCAACCTCACCGCATCGTTTCCCAGGATCTAATGTACTGTTTGGTAGCTTCGTCTGAGCCTGTGATGAATTTTACACCCATTAGTGTACCAATTTCATTTACCGGTATCAGCTACCGGCTTCAATCTGTTTTGGGTTGTCCCAGCGGCACACTGCACAGCTTTCCCAGAATTGGCTCAGCCATCTCGGCGGTAGGACAAGAAGCCGGGCGCTTATCTCACGTAACACGAATGGGGATAGCATGCCAAGACCAGGCTGTCGCCGGTGATTGATATGATTTAAGGTTCTGACTTGTGTATGTAAAATGACAGATCGTTAGCTCCCGGTTTATGCCGGACGCCTAGTTAGCATAGTAGGAATGGAAGAGGTAGCCAGACAGTCGTCGGGGACGGTAACCAGGTAGTCATCGGTGATTGGTATTATGGAAGTGTATAATAACGGATATTACATGTTTTTGAAAAACTGCTCTCGTTTGATGCAGGACGTTTAGCTCCCGTAACATGATTTTTTGGGCCGTAAATTGCAAATTCCCCCACGTTTTTCACTACCGCTATAGGATTGGCATTCTCTCAATTGTATTATTGCTCTAGCATTTATGTCCAAGCGATACCAGTGTAGTAGATTTCGGAGCACTACGAAGGAGCCGGTGCTTTCAGGCAAAACCAAAGCTCTGTTTTAGGTCATGACTAGAGGGCTAAGTGATCTGAAAGGCCACTCCTGTGATCGTGATGATTTTGTAACTTACGTTTTATTGTTACTCTTCTGTTGTCAGCTTGGCAATGTCTACCTGTCGGCATCGCCCGGTGAATGGGATAGGCTTGGTCTGTTAGGTCACCACTACACCACCCACCCAGGGTTTGCTACGTCAGGGGTGGGTGGGGTGGGGGCGCTTAGAAGTGTCGAAATGTCGAAAACTAAAGCGCTGGAGTCATTTTCAAAGTTAGAACCAGACCCGCAAACTTGGACATCCTGCCTGTAGTCTTGTCCAATTGAACATGGAAATGTGCTACCTCATCAGTATGCCAACATAGCGCTCGAGGTGTGCATCGTCACACGTTGTTGAAAACGGCTTCAGAAGTATCGGTTTGTTATTGGCAAGCGATTTGGTGGTCTCCCATAAGTCCTCAATTGGCATAAGACCATTCTAGCTCACGATTATTTTAGTCTTTCTTCAAGCTACGGACGCATGTTCACGTGACAGGGAGTGACTTTGATGTGCACGAGACGCAGAGGTGTCACTACCGAGCCTTCGTTCGTACTCCATTATGGACACGATGTTGCTGGAGTCAGGCCGTTCTTATTGGTACTGATGGGAATGGCCTTATTTACACTCAGTGATATTAAACTGGTGAGCCACGGATCGAACGCTCGGTGGCGTTTGGGGCGACTTTTGCAAAGACCAGGCGACGGTTCGAATCCTCGCTGGTCGCTTATGAAGGCGCGCTGACGGTTCAAGCGTCGGCTGACATGCAAATCAATCCATAACGGATTGTGTTGTTAGTATACATGTTAAGGTTTCCTTATTAGGAATTGACCCGAAAGGGCAACTTAAATAAAGAACAGAATTTCAACTCAAGTGCACAAGCGACGTCCGGCTTCGAGGTTATCGTCTGGTCAAGCTTACTTGTGTGTGCTATGCCTGCCGGTGGACTTGAAGCTTACTAGCGAGGGTTCATTCGGTATGATCAGGAGACCGTGTGTGTATTGGTCAATTTTATATCGAAAGGTTTACGTGACGGCTTTATTTTGCCTATTTGCACGACTGGGATTGCGTGTTGCCTCTCTTTTATTCTTCCACCCGAATATTGAACACTCGATGTCCTCGTAAAAAGCTTATCCGTGCCTTGTACCCTTTCGCTGTTGGGACAACAAGAATTCAAAACACCTGCTAGCTTTGCTCGTGCTAGTAGCGTGTTATTATTTTTTTCTGGTTGGTTTGTATAAGCGATTTGCAAGGTCCAATCTGTCCCGGTGCAAGGGAAAATCCTGGGTCTTCGAGTCCGCCTGAGCGATCTTTTGCCGTTCTGGTAGACGTATTGTTGTGAAAACAACCTATCTACCCTAGTAGCTAGAGCTCACGTGGGATTTCCAACACCGCAACATCCAGACGCTCATTGGCAGCTAGGATCTGACCCTGAGCCGCTACATGCCCACGTATCTTGTAATGTGCCTACTTTAAGCCTTCTACTTCGGCTTACGCATTAGCGCACGTGTATGAGGTAGCTTAAGCTGGCTTAGATTAACTATATTTTTGGCCGAGAGTATGGATTTACTCAAAATAGCCGATTTCCGGTAAAAATGAGAACTTTATTTGTTTGGGTTTTCGTCCTAATCTAACATATTAAATGAAAGTATTTATCAACGAATGGTTGACGGAATCTTGCTATTCTAATTGGTTTTAGATGTTGACTTTATAGCCAATGAATGCCCTAAATATACGCTAACCAACAGTCTGCCAAAATGTAACCATTGGTCAATCTCACATCAACGTGGAAAACCTTTTTCGTAACCAAGTGTAGCCGCTTGCGTGTAGCCCCGTTACATATCTTCTCCGAGATTTGCAGCGAAGTGTCTGCGTAGAACGTTAGTCGGGAGGTTGGACGTCTGTCTGCTCCCATGTCACGATATGCTGTGCCGTGAAAGAGTGTACACTACACCCACCCGCTAAATTTGATACAGTAATATCCATGTAGCTAGCAGCTTATCTTGATGCTTATGTTTCACACTTGATCATAAAATGTAATCACCCACGCCGAAGTTTGGTAGCTGTGGGTGCTGGCGACGGCGCTAATTGTGCTCTGTCTGCTGAGCGAGAGAAGCAATCATTAGCTCGTGCATAAGACGAGGATGGATACTAGAATTCTCAGCTGCAAGCCACGATTTAATGTCCTAAGGTTGTTCAGGCAGTTCCAGATTTTTCTTTGTCTCGGGTCCCGTCTAAATTCTAGCAGGGATGATATCGGTAATTTACAAAATAATAGTATTGGAGCTTATTCCCCAAGTGACGGAACTGACGTATGATTTAGATTTTCTCGTAGCAAGACACAAAAAAATCAAATCGTGAGCGTCCAGTTTGTATTCGAGACAAAGTTCTCGAAGCACCTGCCCAATATCGCAGTTGGCACACTCATTACTACCGTTTATCGGTGAGTAACCCACCATAAACTCTTGCCGTGACTTTAAACACCGGCACCCCCCCCCCGCTACAACTTCGCTTTAATAATGCGCTCCTGGTCACATATCCATTGTGGCGGTATGCCATAGCGACTGTGCCATACCAGGATAGCTTTTTCAGCAGCTGTACTTGTGGGGCTTGACCATGGTGTCAGCCGGATTACGGCCGTTGATCAAGCTATGGCCACGACAGCGTGCTGGCATGCACCAATGGCGAGAGGGAAAGCTGTAAGGCACGCGTCATAGTGCCTTTCGATGAAGAGAAGGCTTACGCTACTGCGCTGCATTGGACTTGGAGCACGCTGCATGAATGACGAGTGGGCACGGGCACGTGTCCTCGATTGCATGATCGTTGAGCCTGGATGAAGACACAAGGAGAGTTAGTTCAGGTCAGCGAGTTTGTTTGTTTGCTTTTCTTTCATTAATAAACTTTCCTCATCGGAAGAAAACCCCGGTTCTCGCGACAAAGCTAGCTTTGCGCTCTCTGAAGTGTGAGTTTGTTGATCAACCTTCCTGGACGCAGTCTTCCGTCCAGATCGTCATCTCCTCCACGCGCTACTGGATATTGCGCGCCAAAGTCCGATCAGCTTCGACTAAGTGCGGTTTCGGGCGACTGACATAAGTTCGAATTAAGTTCGGTTGAAGTGTTAAGTTCGAACAACTTCAAGATGGTGGGCTTCCCTGTTGACGCTTACGGAGACGTAGAGATGTCAATCCCTCAACCCATCTTTGAGGTCATTAAGGCTCCAGAGCTGACCAGCTGGGAGCACGCTGCTCTGATTGAGTGGCATCGTGAGTGGGAGCGTTACGTGGAAAAGATTCGCCACCGATGCTTTACCACGGGTGAGACGTACGACAATGTTGCTGCAACTGTCAAGGGCTCGGTGAGACGGCAGACGCTTAATAACCAGGCTAAGTACGTGCTCAAATAGCCTATTGCGTCGGTAACCGACGCGGACATCATGAATGTTGTCGAAGCACGCTGTCGTACACTCAAAAACGAGTTCGTTCCTGACGTCTCGTCGCTGTTCCGTGCGAACCTAAGGATGATTGGGAACGAGAATGAAGCGGACGCAGGCTAGAAGAGTAGAATGAAGGCCCGTTGCCGACTATTGGTTGAAAACTTGCAGCCCCCAGTCCTCAAGGCTCAGATCGGTCGCCTTATCGATTTAGAGAGGCGTGACTGCAAATCTGATATGTCGCTCATTTCGACCTGATTCTGGAGCATGCAAAGGTACAACAGCGATTTCATCGAATTTCACAGGATTATGCGGAAAAGCAGGATTCTAAAACTATCAAGCCAGAAAAGAAACCACAACGTGGTGCTCCGACCGAGCCCACGTCCTCGCCGGCGCCCACGACGACCACTACTGCGACGGGACCTCGCCCTACGCGCTCTCCTCCTCGTGATGGCTGTCTATTCTGCAAGGGAGAACACTGGCTCAATGACTGCCCCACAGCCACGGACGCACAGCGCGAAGAGACCGTGAAGAAGTTTCGCGCGGCTAAAAAGCGGCGTTCGGGGCCGGTGCGGTCAAAGGCTGCCCGTTATGCGACGCCGGCCGGTTCTGTACGCATCAACGAGCTCCTAGATGTTCCCTATACACCCGATACCGGCGCCGACAAGAGCGTGGCTCCGGAGAAAATAATGGCCTCACTCCTGGCAGTGCAACCTACGCTAGAGACTACTCCACTGAGTACGCCTGTTGAAGCTGTTATGGCTGATGGCAGGGTCCAATTGTTCAAACAAGAGGTGAAATTGGATCTCGAGCTAGCTACAGTGGCCGGGATGGTATCACTGCGCTCAGTACCGTGCTGGGTTCTATCTGGTGAAGGTGATGAGTTTCTTTTGGGCCGGGATGTCCTGAAGGGGCTCGGCATCGACGTGGAACAACAACTCGCTCAACTGGCTGGATCTCCATTGCCGGAGGCAGAGCCTGACGATTTTCCTGTAGGTGTTGAGTTTTCGGACCTAAATAGGCCAATCGACTCGCCGGAATCTCTTCTCGACCGAGCGGTGGCCAATGGGCTGCCGAGTGAACATGTCGGTACTGTTAGTGACTTGCTGGATGAGTTTCCAAACGTCTGGCGTGATGCAGCTGGTCCTGATCTCCCTGCCAATGTGGAGCCTCTACGCGTGTCGCTGAAGGTGAACGCAACGCCCTACAGGAGCCCTGCACGCAAGTATGCGCCTTTGCAAGCCCAGTTCATCCGTGACTATGTGCAATATTTGGTTGATAATGGGCTGGTAGAGCAGAATAACGCATCTCGCTGGGCAAGTGCTGTAGTGCCAGTGCGCAAGCCGGGGACCAAGGACGAGTTCCGGCTGACCATTGACTATAGGGTCGTCAACAGTATGACAGTCCCCATTGCTGGTACGATGCCTAGTGTCGCCACTACGACCGACGCCTTCAACGGTAAGAAGTTCTTCGGACGTTTTGACTTCACTAAGGGATTCTGGCAATTACCTCTACATGAAGAAAGTCGAGAGATATTTTCTTTTATTACGCCCGATGGTGTATTTACACCTGATCAAGTCCCCCAAGGAGCGATGGACTCCGCCTTGCATTTCCAGAGCCAAGTCCAGACCGAACTAGCCCCGCTAATACCACATTCGGCCCTTGTGTGGGTCGACGACGTGATTTTATTCGCTACAACAATACATGACTTCCTACAGACGCTCCGAAAGTTCTTCGAGATCGTCAGTGCAGCCAACTTCAAACTCAACATGCTCAAGTCGTCGTTGTTCGAGCTCGAGATCAAGTGGTGTGGCAAACTAGTTTCGAGCGACGGAATTCGCCATGATCCTGCGCGCGTGAACGCTTTGGTGGAACTTCCGCTCCCTGCAACTGTGGCAGATCTGCAGCGGTTTGTATTTGCAACGAACTGGTTGCATGACTCGCTTTCGGACTACGCACGCACTGTGGCTCCGCTTCATGACAAGCTAAAGGCCGAAAAGAAGCGGATCGGAAGGCGGAATCGAAATGCATTACAAGTGGCTACATCATGGGATAGTGACGAAAAGGCTGTCTATGAGAATGTACTTTCGTTGGTGAGAGACTCTGCGCTGATGGCGCACCATGATCCGGACGCTGAGCTGTGCGTCTTCACAGATGCGTCGCTTTTCGGGTTCGGTATTGTGGTAACACAAGTCATGCAGTGGCAACCAGGCATTCCTGTTGAGCGCCAGAACCACCAGTTGATCATTTGCAAAGGCGGTACGTTCAAGCACTCACAACTTAATTGGACGGTGGTGGAAAAGGAGGCGTATCCGATCGTGAAGGCCTGCAACGATCTTGAATACTTACTGCTGCGACCGGGAGGTTTTCGGTTATTTTGTGATCACGCGAATTTGATCTACATATTTGCTCCGCATGCCGACTTGAAGAAACATGTGCGAGACCGTTTGCAGCGGTGGGAGATGCGGCTGTGTGGTCTCCACTACCGCATTGAGCACATTTCTGGTGATGCTAATGTGTGGGCAGATATTGTGTCCCGGTGGCACGTCCGCGGTGAAGAGCAAGTTTTGGTTTCGGCTGTCCAAACACGAGGTCGACGGAACGTTCCTGTTGAAGATCTATCGGTGCTTCGCCCTCTGATGGACGCTGATTTTGTTTTTCCTACCTGGACGGACATAGCAGCTGCGCAGTCTGAAGCTGGACGAGAGAAGGCTCGACTGCGAGTCGATTTTTCCGAGGAGAATGGTGTACTGCTTGTCGATGAACGTCCATGGATCCCAACTGGAGCTCAAGATTTATTAGCCAGAATTCTTGTGGTTGCGCACTATGGTGCGCAGGGGCATCGCGGTCAAGAAGCAATGATCATCGTACTGAAGTCTCGATTCTGCATTACGAAGTTAGAGGATAAGGTGGCGAAGTTCGTCCGGGGGTGCCTGCTGTGCAAGCATTTTAAAGGACCTCGACTTATTCCACGACCGCATGGACCGCTACTAACACCTACGGAACAAAACGAGCACGTCCACTGGTACTTTCTTTTCCTTGGTGATGGCTATGGAGACTCAACCTACCTTCTAGTGGTCAAGGACGGACTTTCGCATTTCTGTGAGCTATTTCCGTGTGCTACGCCGTCGGCATACGTGGCTGCGGAGGCGCTGCTGATGTGGTATTCCCGGTATGGCCTGCCTCAGACGCTGCTATCAGATCAAGGCACGCATTTCCGTAATGAAATAGTGCAGCACTTGGCCACCCGATTGAAAATGGAGCTGTACTTTACGCCTGTGTACTCCCCCTGGCTAAACGGAACAGTAGAAAGACTGAACAAAGATGTCCTCCAAGTTGTACGAGCATTCCTGATGGAATACTCGCTGGATAGCCAAGAGTGGCCGTACCTACTGCCGGTGATTCAGGCAAACTTAAATCATACGCCTGTGAAATCACTTGCAGGTCATTCGCCAGTCGAAGTGTTCACCGGACTGCCGGCCTCATCAGCGTTGGATGTATTGGTTGTTCCAGCCACTGAAACTTCCGTTGAGCGAGTCGTGGAACTTGGTGATATGAGCGACAAACTGGACAGTCTACGCGTTTCGCTTCAGGACCTACATCGCGAGGTGAACGACACTAAAGAGCGCAAGCGGCTGCAGGACATGAGGGCTCACAAAGGTACGCCGGTGAACTTTGATGTGGGCGACTTCGTGCTTTGGTCAAGAATCGAACAACGACTCCCCAATCACAAACTTCTAGGCCAATGGGTTGGCCCGTTCGAGGTTGTGAAGGCGCTGCCTCACTCGTTCGAAGTCAAACACTTAGTGACGGGACGTGTCGATGACGTGCATGCTTCGAGACTAAAGTTTTATGCTGATTCGGCCCTAAACACTACGGAGGAGCTACTAGAACTCGTTTCGAGTCAAGGTATGATGCTGGGTGTCGAACGAATCGTGGATCATCGTTTCAATCACGAATACGGACGATGGGAGCTGATGGTGGCCTGGGTCGGACTTCAGGCGATTGAAAGCCGCTCGCTACGCTTGTTCAGGATGTACCTGTTAAAGTGCGCAACTACGTCGCCACTACGGCTGAAGATGATGAAATCCGCGGACAACTCGACTAGTTAAATGTTCCTATCGTGTCCAAGCTTTGAGAGGCACTGTCAGCCGAATTACGGCCGTTGATCAAGCTATGGCCACGACAGCGTGCTGGCATGAACCAATGGCGAGAGGGAAAGCTGTAAGGCACGTGTCATAGTGCCTTTCGATGAAGAGAAGGCTTACGCTACTGCGCTGCATTGGACTTGGAGCACGCTGCATGAATGACGAGTGGGCACGGGCACGTGTCCTCGATTGCATAATCGTTGAGCCTGGATGAAGACACAAGGAGAGTTAGTTCAGGTCAGCGAGTTTGTTTGTTTGCTTTTGTTTCATTAATAAACTTTCCTCATCGGAAGAAAACCCCGGGTCTCGCGACAGGTAGTTGGCACCAGCAAACATTTCTAAACGAAAGAAAATTTCAAGGCAATGTCTTATTTCGTTCATTTGTCCTATATGTTTCACTCTATGGTTTTTGAATTATTCTTTCACTTTGTACGGGATAGCGCAACAATCAAGTCGATAAGAACGTCTCTACCTGCGCTATAAGGTGGACCAGGTAAACAAATCTCTTCATCACCTCAATGGTCGCATCGCATACTCGATGTTCCTGCGGACCGCAAAGAGCGATTGTCAGTTTGCCTTGCACTAATCCTCTTATTTGTCTGATAAGCATATTTATCGTTGATATACCATTCTTTCTTATCGGTATCACTAGCTGCCGCAGGTCGATGAACGTTGTGCTCAGCTTGTGCAGATAATATTTCACCCCGAGTCGGCCACTCGAAATCTGGATCGCTACGTGGTCGGACAGGACGTTGTGGTAGTTTGGGTGCAGGTGGTGGTTTCAGATCTGCACGTTTCCGTCGCCGTCGGGCTCGTTTAGCTGGCAGATTCGTTGGAAGAGACGGCGTTGTAAGTCTATCTCTCAATCTGAAGTGTCGCAGATAAGCTTGAGTGTGGCTGCCAGTCTATCGAGACACTGTGTCACTCCGGACATTCGATACCCCATCTATGTGCTCAATTTGATACCGGTACCATTCAATTTGGTCGCCCAACGCAGTAGCATACCACGGATGTGCTTCTTCACACGTTTTGTTCGTTTGAAGGCGTTCGCCAGAGTAGCATCTAACATATCTCGAAGTGGTCGAGTCTTTTTAGCGTAGTCTACCAAACGTTCGTGCATCCAGTTGTTATACACAACAAATTGCAATTCACTAGGGCTGGTTGGGTAAGGAAGGCTCTGCAATGCACAAACTCGTTCTGGGTCGTGGCTACCACAGAGCCCGAAGCAAATTTCCTGCATCACCGCACTTAGTCTGGACTTCTTAGCACTTAGCTTGAAGCCGAAAACATCAAGAAGTTCAAACAATCTTTCCAGCTTGGCGAGGTACGTATGAACATCGATTGCAAATAACATCAAAGCATCATTCCAGACTAAAAGATTACGGCGCAGAAATTCATCCTTCCAGACATCAATTGTGGCTTGAAAGAATAAAGCGGCTTCGGTACAACCTTGTGGTACACGCTTCGGCGTGTACACTTTCTGGTGTTTCATGTAGGACAGCATTTTATTGACAGTCCTCAGCGCGAGAAAGTTGCCTATACCCTTTATTAATATCAAACAATCCGATAACGTTGCGCCTTTCCTAGTTTCTAAGTCTGTTTGGCAGACATAATTCCAACTAGATCTTCGACTAGTTTGCTCATTAGCTTGTATTCTGCCATTTGTCGGAATTCCCTACCACTTTTACGAATTTGTAGTGCTGGGCATGCCCACAACTTCTTTCGTTTTTCG